GAGACGGGGTTTCACCATGTTAGTCAGGATGGTCTCGATCTCCTGACCTCCTGATCCAACCGCCTTGGTCTCCCAAAGTGCTGGGATTACAGGCGTGAGCCACCGCGCTCAGCCAGGAGAGCCTTTTCCATAACCAAATACAGACAATACTTACTAAATCTCCTGAGCATATTCAGGCAGTCAAGTCTGCACTGTGATAGCAACCTAGAGAAGGAGAATGCTTTCTACTGAAAAGCATGTGGCCCTTTGTGACTCTGTTGTTCCATTTTTAATGTCTAATGATTCATGAGAGGAACAAAAAGAAGTCGAAGTAGTTATGTATCATGTGGACCAGAGGGATGCAAGAGAAGTTCATGTGGGGCTGGCCTCACCTCCTGAGAAATCAGTGTTCACAACTTCCTTGTAATAGTATGAACCTTTGGCACCATTACTGCACCAAGAAGCCAACAGATCAAAATTTGTTTGCTAAAATATATGTACAAATTCTGAAATTCCCTATTCTCTGTGTATGAAAAAAAAAAATCAAACACTAAGACACATGTTTTGGGTAGGTGGGTGGGTGGGGGAAACCTTCTGTCTGTCTCTCTCTCTCTCTATATATATATATATACACACACACATATATCTCTCTCTCTATATATATACTATATATAAAAAATATATATTTTGCCAACAGAAAAAAAAAAAAACGAAAAGGTTGGGGAGCGCTGCACTATGCAGCAAACCCTGTGAATTACCTGCCTGACCTCACGTAATTCTCCAAACAATTCTGTGAGGTAGATGTTGTCATCCCTATTTTACAGATGAGGAAACTGAGGCTCAGCGATGAAACCGAGTAAAAGGGCTTGCTGTCTGATGTGTCAGAAGACAATCTTGTGATTAGGAAAATTAGTAGTCATTAGTTTTTTGTTTTTTGTTTTTTTAACTCTTTGGGACACAGTTTCAGAAGGAACTGACTGTCAGGACACAGAGCCACTCAACGGGAGGGCAGATTCACACCTGACTCCAGAGACCTAGCTGCCTCTATCTGTCCAAGGGGAATTTTACAGTGATCAGTCCAAAATGTGCCGTTCACAACATCTTCACTCCCTCAAGGAAAGCCTTCCAGCGCCAGTGCAACCTCCCTTTGTGTGCAACACCCTCTACCAGCCCTCCAAAGCATTTCCTGCATTGCATTGTGAGGATACACGTGGCTGGGAGCACCTGCTCCCGGGATTCAGTCTTACTCATGCCAGCATGCCTAGCACCCAGCACAATGCCTGACACATGTTGGGCACAGAAACAATGAATGGGATAAACAAGCCTGGCCTCCCCGGGCCCAAGCCCTGTAAACCTACCCAAAGCCAGAGTAGCCTGCCTTGGGGACTCAGTGCACCTCCCCTCAGGCGGGGATCACACCCCAAGACAGTAATCCAGACAGACTGAAGACACAGAAGGTTCTCTCAGCCAGCTTTTTCTCCAGCACTGAAACAGTCACAATCTGTTCTTTAGCTGTGCACCAGATGCAGGAACTGGCTTATGTCTGGGAACCATGTTGTACAAAAATGCCTCCTTAAACATTAGAACCTTAAAAGGAATGAGTGTGTGCTCGCTGCTCTGTTTCCCTTTTTGCCCTAAGGAGATCACACATGATGGCAGGAGTTACAGCAGCCAGCTTGGACCATGAGATGGAAGCCTAAGTTTGAGTAAGAAAAGTCACATTATCAATGGAATCCTGCTCCCAGATGATCTCACAGAACACAGCAAGCTGCTCTACCAGCTCTGGACTGCGTACTTCCAGAATGTTAAGGAGCAAGGAATAAACTTCTGTTTCCGCCACTGTAGATTTCACCTAACTAAAGATGTGAGCATTGCCCGCTGATCATCCACTCTGGCCTCTCTCTGTAGGTAAAACAGTAATAGTAATATCAACAATTTCCCAACCAAACTGTAACTGGAATTTTGTCATTACTGTATAATTTTAAAGAAAAGGCTATCAGGAAAGAATCATTTGAATCATGTTGAACCTAGAGAAGAAGGACAAACTGATCTGATTTGTTTCATCCTTGAGTATTACAGACATACCTCAGATTTCCAGATAGCCCAGGCTACTCTTTTCTGACAGTTTGCCTGTGTAAACTCCAGCTTGGCTCCCCTCCTCCGGCTCATTACCTGAATCAATGACATACAAGTGGAAAATCTGATGAGAACCTAAAGGGTACCTGCTCCCTCAGAGCTGCCCTTTCATGCATCCATCAAACATAGACAAATACAGAGTGCTGAGCACAGAGCCTGGCCCAGGGAAGTGCTGAATAAATAGCCTGGTCTGTGCCAGACAACATGCTGACACTGGGACACAAAGATGCACAGACTCAGCCTCAGGCCCTGCTCTCAAGATCTGCTGCTCAGTGAGAGACAGGACACAATGTTGAGAAGCAAAAAACGATGAGGTTTGTACCCAAGCATTATTGCAGCATTGGCACTGCTCTGGGATATCCTGGACACTTTGTTTCTCATTGCATACTCTATCCTAGGCGAGCTCATCCCCTCCCATGACTTCAGTGACCTTTGATGGTGACAACTGTTAGATCACCGCTGAACAGGTGCACCTGAATGCTTTACAGGCATTCAACTCCAACATGTTCAAAACTAAACATATCTGCCCTCCCCCAAATCTGCTCCCCGTACTGCTCCCTATCACACGGAGCAGCATCCAACACCCATCAGTCAAAAACTGGGGTGATCCTGACTCCTTCCTGCCCCTAACTCTCATCAAACTAATCACCAAATTTTGTCAATTCTATCTCTAAAACCATCTCTCCTCACTCTCTGCCTCTAACTCACACCTTTATTTCTCACTTGGATTATTCTAGCAGGCTCTTAATTAGCCTACAGGCCCACTCCCTTTGATACATTCTTCACTTAACCAGAGTGAGCTTCCTAATCCACAAATCTGATTCGTGGCCAGGTGTGGTTGCACATGCCTATAATCCCGGTACTTTGGGAGGCTGAGGCGTGAGGATCATTTGAGGCCAAGAGTTCGAGACCAGTCTGGGCAACACAGTGAGAACCCATCTCTACTAAAAATTTAAAAAATCAGCCAGGTGTTGTGGTGCACGCCTGTAGTCCCAGCTAGTTGGGAGGCTGAGGCAGGAGGATCGCTTGAGTTTAGGTCGAGGCTGCAGTGAACTATGATTACGCCGCCACTGCACTCCAGCCTGGGTGACAGAGCAAGTCTTAGTCTCAAAAAACAAACAAACAAACAATCTGATTCTTTTATTTCAGGCTGGAAATAAAAGAATCCTCCCACCTCAGCTTTCCGAGAAGCTGGGACCACCAGAGGTGTGCTCCACCATGCCCAGCTTTTTTTTTTTTCTTTTTTTTCTTTTTTTTTTTAAAATAAGGATGGGGTCTTGCCATGTTGCCCAGGCTTATCTCAAACTCCTGGGCTCAAGTGATCATCCCACATTGGCCTCCCAAAGTGCCAGAATTACAGAGTAAGCCACCACACCTGGCCACAGATCTGATTCTTAATGGCTCCCCATTAACCTAAAATGTAAAGTCCTTAACTAGGTTTACAACGTCCCCTAAGACCAGACCACGGCTTGCTGCTGCTTTTTTTTTTTTTTTTTTTGAGACGGAATCTCGCTCTGTCGCCCAGGCTGGAGTACAATGGCGCCATCTGGGCTCACTGCAACCTCCGCCTCCCGAGTTCAAGCGATTCTCATACCTCAGCTTCCCCAGTAGCTGGGACTACAGGCGCTCGCAAGCACGACCGGCTAATTTTTGTATTTTTAGTAGAGACGGGGGTTTCACCATATTGGCCAGGGTGGTCTCGAACTCCTGACCTCAAGTGATCTGCCCGCCTGGGTCTCCCAAAGTGCTGAGATTACAAGCGTGAGCCACTGCGCCCGGCCCAGTCTGCTTCTTTATTGAGCCTGATCTCTCTCTCGCCTCTCTCTCTGCAAAGATGAGTTTTCTCGAAAACTACACCCTCAACTGAGAATACTCGTTTTTCTGCCTCACTCCCCTGAGCTTCCCTTAGATCTTAGTTTTCTGGCGGACAGAAGCCTCCCGGGAGTCCCCCTTGGCTGAGTGATGTGTCTCTGTGCTCCAGAGGAAGGAGGGCTTTCTGCCCTCGCAGCAGTATCAGAATTGCTGATTTACCTGTATGTCTCCCACATGGGTCTCTGAGCTCTGGGTGACGATGGGGATACAATTAATAACAGCAACAAACACACAGCATTTACTTTGTGCCCATAAGTGTTCTAGGAACCTCATTTCCCCTTTATTACAATCTTAGGAGGCAGATTTTATTACCATCTCTGCTTAAAGGCTGAGTAAACCCAGGCAGAGAGAAAAAGCCAAAAGTGCTTAAGGTCACAGCAGGGAGTGGGGATTCAAACCCCGCTGCTGGGCTCCACGGTTCACACTCCTAACCGCTACTCCAGGATCGAGCCCGCCCGCATCACTCGCTCTAGCTTCAGCATCTATCAGGTGCTGAACCACCGTCCGTAGGACGAATGAATGAATGAAATGATTTTATACAGGGACAGCGTCGGCCTCCTCTCTTGTCAGCTCCTCCTAGGCCCGGGCAGCCCCGCTCCCTCCCGCCCCGGCCGCCCGACGGGAGCTGCCCCGGCACTGCGCTCCCTCGCGGCCGCAGAACGCCCACCCTCTACAGCGCGCGGGGTCAAGGGGCGGTGACAGCCGGGCGGCGGGGGCGGAGATGCTACCAGCTGGGGTGTCATCCAGCCCGGGAGGTGACACGCGCCCCTTCGCCCGGGCGGTCGCTCTGGCCGCCCACTCCCCGCCAGCACGCCCGGCGACGCCCCCCGCCTCGCCACCCCACAATCTCCCGCCCGGCGGTGTCCCCTCAGCCCCGGTTCGGATCCCATTCCACTTCCCTCCCCTCCCCCACACAACCGTCACCGGCGTCCCACCGCGCCCCATCCTCTGCCGCCTCCACCCCGGCTCCCGGGACTTCCCCGGCCCCGGGCGATTGTTGACCCTCACCTGCCATGTCCCGGACCCCACCGCAGAGGAAGGTGCATCACGGCCGCGAGAAGGCCGGGGACAGCACTACAGAGCAGACAAAGGGCGCCGCCATGTTAGAGTCGGGCGGAACCGACCTCGCAGGCTTCCCGGCAGCAACTTCCGGCGCATGCGCAGCGTCCTCGCTAGGCGAGCGCCCACAGACAGACGCATGCGCCTAGCTATCCAAAAGTTCCACCTTACAGTACTTGTGCGCTGAGACTTGTCCTCATTGTACCCCTGCGTTGGTTTCTCTTCCAAATGTAACAGTAACATCATGTGTTCAGGTCTTACTGTGTGCGAGGCACTGTGTTAAGCGCTTTACGTGCATTATCTCTTTAAATCCTCTCACCAATTATAAGATAGTATTATTCTCCTAATTTTAAAAAAGGGGAAACAGACTCAAAAAGTGTAAATGAATTGTCCAGGGTCACATACTCTTGTAAGTGGTGGACCGGAGATGTGAATCTACTTGCGGCTTCAAAGCTGCAGATCCCAATTGTGTTTTTCTACCTTCTAAGCCGAACATTATCCCCTTCCCTGATTATCTTGGACGTGAATAAAGGTGTCTGAAAACAAAAGTGTCTGCAGATTTGCACGGCCCCTCTGTGGCCCCTCTTCTACCTTTTTGGTAGCTCTAGGCCACTGGCTTCTCCACTTTCTCACAGTCTGAGGGCTTTCTTCTTTGTTTACTTCTAGGCCTGATTATTTTCCATAATCTATAATTTTAACAATACTCTTGCCACTACTGTAAGCTCTTTGCTCCCTTGTCTTTTTGTCACATGGATTTGGTAAGAATACCAACGCTGTGTGAATCCAACTGCACCTTTTCTCTTTGTTTGCTCCCAAACAGCCAAGCACAGCTGAAGAAAGTAGGCAGTGGCGAGACTGTTCCCTAGAGATTCATGTCCACTAGCCTTCAGTGGGACTGCAACATATGCCAATCTGGCAACTCACTCCTGTCTTCACAATGGCTAGAGAAACAAAAAAGCCGAGCAGTTGACCCCTTCTTGTCTTTTTTTTTTTTTCCTTTTTGAGACGGAGTCTCGTTCTTTCGCCCAGGCTGGAGTGCAGTGGCGTGATCTCGGCTCACTGCAAGCTCCGCCTCCCAGGTTCACGCCATTCTCCTGCCTCAGCCTCTGGAGTAGCTGGGACTACAGGCGCCCGCTACCACGCCCGGCTGATTTTTTGTATTTTTAGTAGAGACGGGGTTTCACGGTGTTAGCCAGGATGGTCTCGATCTTCTGACTTCGTGATCTGCCTGCCTCGGCCTCCCAAGGTACTGGGATTACAGGCACGAGCCAGCACGCCCGGCCGTCTTTCTTTTCTTTTCTTTTTCTTTTTAGATGGGGAATCGCTATGCCGCCCAGGCTGGACTGAAACCCCTAGGTCTAAGCATCCCATTTCAGCCTCCCCAGTAGCTGAGACTACAGGCATGTGCACCCACAACTGGCTAACTTCACCCATTCTTTTTAATCATATTTTTAATTTTTATTTCAGTAGTTTTTGGGGAACAGGTGGTGTTTGGTTGGGTGGATAAGTTCTTTAGTCGTGGTTTCTGTGAATTTGGGGGACCCATCATCCAAACAGTGTACATTGTACCCAAGGTGTAGTCCTTTATCCCTCACCCCTCCCACCATTCCCCCTGAGTTCCCAATGTCCATTGTATCATTCTTATGCCTTTGCATCCTCATAGCTTAGTTCCCACTTAAAAGTAAGAACATACGATATTTGGTTTTCCATTCCTGAGTTACTTCATTTTGAATAATGGTCTCTAGCTGCATCCAGGTTGCTGCAAATGCCATTATTTCATTCCTTTTTATGGCTGAGTATTATTCCATGTTATATATATACCACATTTTCTTTATCCACTCATGCACTGATGGGCGTTTGAGCTGGTTCTATATTTTTGCAATTATGAACGGTGCTGCTACAAACGTGTGTGGAAGTGTCTTTTTCATATAATGACTTATTTTCTTCTGGGTAGATACCCGCTAGTGGGATTGCTGGAGCTAATGGCAGATTTACTTTTAGTTCTTTAAGGAATCTCCATACTGTTTTCCATAGTGATTGTACTAGTTTACATTCCCACCAGCAGTGTAAAAGTGTTCCCTTTTCACCACATCCATGTCCACATCTATTATTTTTTTATTTTTGATTATGGCCATTCATGAAGGAGTAGGTATCGCTTTATGGTTTTGATTTGTATTTCCCTGATAATTAGTGATATTGAGCATTTTTTCACATGTTTGTTGGCCATTGTGTATCTTCTTTTAAGAATTGTCGGGCAGGGCACGGTGGCTCACGCCTGTAATCCCAGCACTTTGGGAGGTCAAGGAGGGCAGATCACCTGAGGTCAGGAGTTCGAGACCAGCCTGGTCAACATGGCGAAACTCCGTCTCTACTAAAAAATACGAAAAAACAAAAGCCAGCATCGTGGCGGGCACCTGCAGTCCCAGCTACTCAGGAGGCTGAGGCAGGGAGAATTGCTTGAGCCCAAGGTTGCAGTGAGCCGAGATTGTACCACTGCACACTAGCCTGGGCGACAGTGCGAGACTCCATCTCAAAAAAAAAAAAAAAAAGAATTGTCTATTCATGTCCTTAGCATGTGACTTTTTGATAGGATTATTTGCTTTTTTCTTGCTGATTTTTTTGAGTTCCTTGTAGATTCTGGGTATTAGTTCTTTGTTGGATGCATAGTTTGTGGAAATTTTCTCCCACTCTGTGGATTGTCTGTTTACTCTGCTGATTATTTATTTTGCTGTGCAGAACCTTTTTAGTTTAATTAGGTCCCATTTATTTATTTTCATTTTTGTTGCATTTGCTTTTGGGTTTTTAGTCATAAAGTCTTTGCCTAAGCCAATGTCCATAAGAGTTTTTCCAATGTTGTCTTCTAGAATTTATATGGTTTCAGGTCTTAGATTTCAGTCTTTGATCTATCTTGAGTTGATTTTTGTGTAAGGTGAGAGATGAGGATCCAGTTTAATTCTTCTACATGTGGCTTGCCAATTATCCCAGTACCATTTATTGAATAGGGTGTCCTTTCCCCACTTTACGTTTTTGTTTGCTTTGTTGAAGATCCATTGGATGTAAGTATTTGGCTTTATTTCTAGGTTTTGTATTCTGTTCCATTGGTCTATGTACCTACTTTATTCCAGTACCATGCTGTTTTGGTGACTATAACCTTGTAGTATACTTTGAAGTTGGGTAATGTGATGCTTCCAGATTTGTTCTTTTTGCTTAGTCTTGCTTTGGCTATGCAGGCCCCTTTTTGGTTCCATACTTCCCCACTTCTTAAAAAAAATTTTTTTTTAAATCCTAGTAAGAAAACATGAGATCTGTCCTCTTAAGAATTTGTTCTTTCTCTTCAACTTTTATTGTAAGTTCAAGGGTACATGTGCAGGATGTGCAGGATGTGCAGGTTTGTTACATAGGTGGTAATATATGACCCATGTTTACTTTAGGTTGAATAATGTTTGGACTTAGCATTTAAATATATTACAGGCCAGGTGTGGTGGATCATGCCTGTAATCCCAGCACTTTGGGATGCCAATGCAGGAGGATCACTTGAGACTAGGAATTGGAGACAAGCCTGGGCAACATAGTGAGACTCCCCCCAATCTCTACTAAAAGTAAAAGCTTAGCTGGGCATGATAATGCATGCCTGTAATCCCAGCTACTTGGGAGGCTGAGAGGAGGATCACTTCAGCCCAGGAGTTCGAGGCAGCAGTGAGCTATGATTGTGCCACTGCATTCCAGCCTGGGTGACAAACCAAAACCCTGTCTCTAAAAAAATTTTTAATAAATGTATTATAATTACGCCCTATATGTCAAAGGTCTTTTTCAGAGCACAAAAGCATTCAAGTGCACAGCCTCTGTAAACTGGCCAGAACCAGTCAATGAGTGGTGGTCTTCTTAGCTGAAGAAAGTTACTGAAATCAACTTCTTTGTCCCAACCTGTAGTTATGGCTGGTGGAACAGGGGTTCCAGTCAGCGTCTGTGAGCTGAATGAGTCATAGTTGTTTTAATACTGTTTATCTTGAGGCAAGTACTCACTTAGCTGCGACAGAAAACGAAAAACCTTGTGGCAATTGAACATAGTTTATTCTTTAAGGTAGGGGTGCATGGCTTAACCCTTGCCTAGCACAGCCTTGGGTCCTGTCTATAATTTGGGATTTTATTGCCACAGTCTGTTCTGTCAGTCTTATTGTCTCTATTTTAACTTTAATGCTCATCAGTTGTTATGTCTAAAACACAAATAGAGCCAGGTGTGGTGGCTCACACCTGTAATCCCAGCACTTTGGGAGGCTGAGGCAGATGGATCACTTGAGGTCAGGAGTTCGAGACCAGCCTGGCCAACATGGTGAAACCTGTCTCTACTAAAAATACAAAAATTAGCTGGGCATGGTGGCGTGCACATGTAATCCCAGCTACTTGAGAGGCTGAGGCAGGAGAATCTCTTGAACCCGGGAGGCGAAGGTTGCGGTGAGCCAAGATTGCGGCACTGTACTTCAGCCTGGGGGATAGAGCAAGACTGTCTCAAAAAATAAATAAATAAATAAGTAACACTAATAGGTATATCAAGGTGTGTTGTATTAATCCATTTTCACGCTGCTAATAAAGACATACCCAAGACCATGTAATCTGTAAAGGAAAGAGGTTTAGTTGACTCACAATTCAGCATGACTGGGGAGGCCTCAGGCAACTTCTAATCATGGTGGAAGGGGAAGCAAACACATCCTTCTTCACAAGGCAGTAGCAAGAAGGAGAATTAGCAAAAGGAGGAAAAGCCTTTTTCTTCTATAAAACCATCAGAAAGGCCGGGTGTGGTGGCTCATGCCTGTAATCCCAGAAGTTTGGGAGGCCAAAGCGGGTGGATCACTTGAGGTCAGGAGTTCCAGGCCAACATATTGAAACTCCATCTCTGCTAAAAATAGCGGGTCTCCATCTAAAACAAAAACAAAAGCAAAACAAAACATCGGATGTCCTCAGAACTCACTCTCACTCACTATCCTGAGAACAGCAGCATGAGGATAATCACCCCCATGATTCAATTACCTCCCACTGGGTCCCTCCCACAACACGTGGGGTTTATAGAAACTACAATTCAAGATGAGATTTGGGTGGGGATACAGCCAAACCACATCACG